AATGATGATTTCCCTGCAAACACCAACAAACAACGGCTTCAACCATGGTTTCATTTCGTGGCTAGGTTGGGTGTTACACGCCCTGCGCTACACTAAAAGTCAAGCAAGCATGCGCTGAATAAAACCAAGGCCTCCCAAAAGAAAGGCATCACTTCCCGAGTCTTCCGATGAGCGTTATTTTTCCGGTCGTGCAGAGTACGCGCGCCTAGCTGAAAAGCGCTCGCTTCAAGAAAAAATGCTCGGATGCGGATATCGAAAAAGAAGAAACTGTCCGTCGTGTGGGCTCAGTCTTTCTGCTACTCGGGTGCAAGATTTGCAGCGGGCCGCGAACGAGACCACACTAGCACTTTTAGATGTGCGCTGGCGTGGCGGGAAATTGCGCTTTTGTAGCGGGAATGTGCGCTCTCTGTGCGGCCTTTCCCGTTTCATCCAGGAAAGCTGCTGCTCTGTTCAAAACATTGACCACATTGCGCAAAGTGTGCTGCAGAGGAGCCTCAATTGCGAAGCTGCCTCATTTACCGCTCGAAGACTGAACAGCGCTCGCTTGCCAACAAAACGCTCGCAAGCGCAAAAAAGCGTATCAAATGGCAGCTTGAGCAGAAAATTACGCTCGTGCTATCGTGCTTTCCTAAGCCACCACAAAGAAACGGGACATGCCCATAGATCACCGGCTAGGGGGTCCCTCTGGGGCCCGGAACGAAGTGCATCTCCGGGTTCCGCATGAGCAGCTCAAACTCATCCCGGTGGATCTGCCCTAGCGCGCGAGCAACATCTCCTCTCCACCGGTCAGATATGAAGGCATCTCAAAGCACAACTACCCTCGTAAAACAAGCGCGCACACACACACACACCAACAAGTGTGGTGGTGGGGTGAAGGTCTCAAGATGTCTTGTCCACTTGAGACTCCGTTAGTGAGGGCATGAATGCAAACGGTCATGGTGATCAAACAGAAACCCAACGGGGCTGATTAACGACAGCAGTTCTTGGCGTGTGGCTCAACAAATCTGGCTAGAAGCTCTCCAGGATCTCAGCCAGATGCTTGGCATCCATCTGAGAGTGCCACATCTATCCATGAGAATGCAGCGAACACATTGACACCTTTTTGGATCTTTTTTGGGGGACTCCGACGTGAAACCTCAGGATCCGCTTGATGCAATTGCAGCAATGTTCACTGGCACATTGCCTCAATCCCACTGACCCCATGTTGATTAAATGGTTTGCAGTCAGAGTGTCGGGAATTTGAACTGGTCAACGGTTTGGTTGGCTTTTGCAAGTCGAACACGCAAGGCTGTGGTGCCAAAGGGCTGTTATGCTTTTCGAAGGGTTCCGACAATTCCACTTGTTCTCCTCATCTTCAACGCAACTAACCATCACCAAAAGCAAAGGCGTCCCCATTGCATGACAAAGGATAGTCCCTGCTGGACACCATCTTCCCCGAATCAGGTGGCCAAAAGGCAACATGTTTTGCGCACGCTGCCAACATTGAGGTGCTGATGCAGGGAAACCTTTTGCGGATCTGCATCTGCAGCCTCCAAGACCACAAGCAAAACAAGCCCTTGATCAGGATCCTCTGATCAAGGATTCACAGAGAACCCTGACGGCATTGGCAGTTCTCTTCTGGCTTTCTACATGTCAGCATGGATGGGATGAACCCATAAGTTTTCGCAGCTGGCTGGCGCTTGTGATCCGATCAAGGCTTCTGCAGCCATGTTGAATCTTGTAGGATTGGCATGGTGCTTGCTTGCTTGTTTCGGGAAATGTCCTCCCCAAGCAGGTCCTTTGGGGACCTAGGAGGGTGTCCCTTCCCAAGCAAAATGCTTGTGTGTCCTTTCTTACCAGACCCCCATTGTTCGACACGGTCCACCAGAGGCCTGCAAGCTGAAGGTTTGGTCAGGAGAAAGGTTATAGTCCAAAGGTCTAGCATAGTGCACAGCCAGGGCTCCCTATATTTCCCCTTAAAACATCACCCCCAAGGGACACTCACCTTTCATGGGCCACAAGGTGATGTTTAAAACCACCAAATGGGGAAATATAGGGACCCCCTGACAGCTCTTCCTGCCCGGGGTTCTCAAAAGCGCATGGTAAATCAAGTCAACTCGCATGCACTTCGGACTAGCTGATGGTCAACGGGACAATGGTGCGGTGTCTTGCGGCATGTTGCATGGGCATGGATTCACGTGCTTGCCAGTAATAAGCTTCAACAAGAATTGAACGCCCTGCAAGGAATCCTCTCCTGAAAGCCGTAAAAAGACGCGGTGCATACATGGAATGACTCACAACATGTGTCTGGCTGCGGCGCGCAAGCCAAGAAAGAAAACCAACACAATCGGTCTACGCATTTCCTTAATACATGTACAGGGGATGGCTGGGGGGGAATCGAGAAGACTGGGATGTGCCCTGAGAACTTTGGAGAATCACGAAGACGAGCTTTCTCTTGCGGCAAGTCTTTGTCTTCCAAGCTCCGCACTATCGTTGTCTTTGTCGTGGCCTAGGCGTGTGGAGTGCCAAGAGTGAGGCGAGCGGCCACACAAACATGGCCGATGGGTTCCCTCTGCAGGAGAAGCTCTTAGAGTAAAATCTTTAGCCAATCTTCGACACATGCAAGACACGGCAAAAGGACCTGCAAAAAGACGTTGTAGACGCATCTACCGCCAAGGGTTGAACATTTTTCCGTCGCCACTCTTGGGCAGGGTGATGGCACAGATCTCCGCCAGCCGCAAAACGAGAATAATAAACTTTCTGGTTCGATGGGCAGGGAATGAGAATTGGAATGACCGAGAGAAAAACCCATCCCCGATTTGAATTCCTTGAAGGGAATCCCCTTCCGGTTCATTCTCAAAACCCCGGGTCATTCCCAAAACCCCGGATCATTCCCTACTAATGTTGACCCCGTATTAATCAACGGGCCCAGTTTATTAATAAGGGGAGGGGGGTGTCCCTGGGTTTAGTGGGGAATCGTCACTTTGTGGAGGGGTTGCTTCATATGGGGTCAACATTAACAACCAGCAAAATGACAAGGATCACTCATTGATGGCCTTGGGCTCTTACAACCTTGAACAGCCTGAGCACCCTCCCAGCTACTCCCTAAAGCGCCATGCTTGGGGCACATTCTGAAGCCTCCATGAAACGACGGGTTTGAAAAGGCGCCGAGAACTGAGTAGCTACTTGGTTTCAGGATGGTTTCTTTTTAGAGTTGATCATGGACACGGGTCCAACTTGTTTTGAAATGCCAGCAACTCGAGGAACCGTTTGCAAGGTGAAGAATTCCCTTAGTTGGTTCCCAGGAAGTTTCATGCCGAGGCGTCAGCATTCCAGGATCTCCAGCAAGGTATTCTTGAGGTAAGCCACTGCTGCCTCAGTCCGAATCCTGTCTGACGCCTGGCACTTCTCTGTTTTTGTTTTATTTTGGGGGCGGAGGGCCAGCCCAGATCACTTTGAACTCGAGCCGGAGGACGTGGTGTTCAATTCGATGGAGGCTCATTTCAGTTCAACCAAACTGAATTTCAAGCCAGCATGCGCTCGCACGACCAGGTACCAATCCAGAACTTCAGTCAGTGGTTGGTCCAACTGGAATGGTAGACCTCCATTTGCTTAATGTTGGACTCTGTTTAGTGTGACCCCCCCCCCTGGAACAGTGGAACCAGTCGGCGGGACTCTCTTTAGGGAGATCCTGGGGGTCCGGGAGGGGCAGTACTTGCTTTAGTATTGCCAATTCTACTTTAGTATTGCCAAGGGTCGTTTTTTCAGCAACCCCCGAAACCAGTTGGACACTAAAGAGGACCCCAAAACAGTCGCATTAAAGAGGATCTGGGCCTCTTGTGGGCTCCCCCCTTTGTGTGACTGTGTTCCCGCACTTTTTTGTAAAGAAGTTATCTTAAATTTGATGGTTTGGGGACCACTTCAAGAAAACAGCATCCCAATTCCAGCTCAGAACCAGCCTCCAGTTCAACAGGAGCTACCAAGGCTTAGCAAGTTTAGCCTGAGCCCGAGCAAATCTAGAAAGCGAAGAAAGAAGGTCTGCGTGTTTTTCTTTTTTTTTTTGGGGGGGGGGGACAAAACAACTTGCCACAATAGAGAACCCCTAAAACGGTCACAGGATTATGAATTAGGAAAAAACAACTACAATAGCGAGTACTATTAATAAAGGAGGTCCAACATTAAGCGCCCGGAAGAAATAAAAATATGTCCAGTAGTGATAGATTCCCTTTAAAACCAAACCAAAAGGGAAACCAATATAATATTCTTAAGCAAATGGAAGTAGAAAATTGGTCCACGGAAGCCTGGAAGGAAATAAAAGGAAACAACACACCCTTGGGGGCCCTGATCATTTTTCAGCTCGGAACCCGAGCATTGCTTCAGGAGAATCTCTCAGGGGAGATGGACTTGTTTACATCCAGAGTGTTGTTGGACAACCAAAAGAATGAAATGAACATGGGTTGCCTGCCGCGGCACGCCTTTCTCGTGATCGTGTTGGCACGTCCGGACAGAAGCCAATTACAGAATCGATTCAAGCCATTCATCTTTCTCAGCATCAAGCTACTAAGACAAACAAAGGCTGGAGCTGGCATGTAGCTGGAATCATCTCATTTGCCGCGATATGTTCACCAACTTCAATCAACATCTAGGCTGGTGGTTCCGACAGCTTAAGCAATCCGCCCAACAGCCAATCTGAAGTGTCAGCCATGAACCCTGGTAAGGTCGCCCAAAATCTGTGCAAGGCCTTTGTTGTTTTTCAAATTTGAAAGGCATTGCAAAAGTAACCCCTGCAGGTGACGTCACTTGCTCATGCGGGGAGTCTGTTCGAAAGAAGCTCAAAGACTTGGCTCAAGGATCACACAGTGCCAATTAAGGCTCCAAGTGTCGCGCAAGAATTGGAAGAGCAGGGCCATCTCAAATACTGTAGTATTCCAAACGCATCCAAATGCGAGTATCAGACGTCCGCAGAAAGTCAGCCCTGTTCCGCCCGCCTCCCCCCCCCACCCAACCGCTCAACGATTTTGCCTCAAGGCAATCGGCGGTCTGAAGGGAGGACTTGGCAAAGCCGCCCTTTCGCGCAGAAAAATCCGGGAAAATCAGAGAAAAATGCGGGCCGTGTCTTTGGGTCTTTCTGACCAGGCTCAAACAACGACGTTCACCTCAGTCAGGCAACCATGGCTTCCATTTGCTCATGTTTTTTTAAGTTTCCCCTGTTGGCTTTAAAGGGAATCTATCACTACAGGACATGTTTTTGTTTAAATTGTTTTCCGCGGGGTCTTAAGAAAATGGATGCTACCTTGGGAACCGCAAGTACCAACCAAAAGTTAGTCGTGGGAAACATGCCAACATTCTAGGGGTGCCTTCCCAATTTCTTTCCAGGGATCCTTCTTTCTAGAAAACCTCCCGAAACCCAAACAAAACGGATCCGGTTTTTGGAAAGAACGATGGTTGAACAAAATGGGGAATCAACCCTTAGAAACATGTACACGGGTACTGTGTCTGTTGTTGCACCTCTTGTGTCGCGTGTCGAGAGAACACACACACACAAAGAACATCTATGACAGAAAATTGGACGAAAGCTCGGACGACGACTCATATGTCACCGTACTTCCCCGGCGATTCAACGAGGCTCAAATTCATTTCTACTGGCCATCTGAGTCGGCCTCTTGTGGGTCCAAAATGGAAAATCTGAGATTTGCAGAAACAGCGGTCGGGCTACAAACTCAACATCATTTCCAGGTCTGTCCCAGAATGCCAGCAGACCCAACGTGCTAAGGGCCGAATTACTCTCTCAAATCTGGCTGCAACATGGGGGTTGATCAAAAGGTTCCATGTTATACAATTACCATTGGGGAAAACCCATACAACAATGCTTTTCCCACTAAATGGGAAAAGTCATGCCTGGTCATTGTTGGGGGCCAGCAATATTGATCAATTCCCACATGAACACTCACCAATCTGTTGCCCAACCGACAAAACCACACGTATCCTGAGGTGGGGTAGATGGGGCAAGCGGGTATCTCGAGGCTGCGTAACTATCATCAGCCGATGTTGGCTCTGCGCCTCTTTGGAATCCCGCACGAATTCGCGTACCAAACAACACCCTCCCCATAGGTGTCCTTTTTGGGAAAATGGATGGCCCTGTTGGTTGAACCACCAGGTAAGCCAGGAATCGCCCTCTATCCTTAAACCAAATTCACCTATGACCCTGCCCCATGTGTTCCTTGCGACCAACGGCTGGCGCCGCCTTTTCGCCGAGCGCCGCGAGCTTCCAAGTCGCAGGTGCTCCCTGCAGGAAGGCGGCGAGGTTGTCTGCGACGATGTCCATCAGCCTCTGCCTCAGGATGCAACAGGCGTGACGCTCGCTCGATAGCGCCAAGTGAAGGGAAAGGGGGCGGTCAAAACGCGACGCCGGATTTGGAGCCCGAAATGACCCTGGTACCTTTGACGATCACCCTTCACGGGGAAGCGGCTGAACAACAAAGTTCATCATGGGACCCAAAACCGAACAGCACAGTGCTGCCAAGGACAAAGCTTCTCTCTGCATAACGGTCACAGGGCTTTCACGGTCTTCACCATAGGATTACTACCATGAGGATCCCCCTTGAATTTTAGGGGGTGGGGTTGAACACGCATTTCAAGGGGGATATTATAAAGAGGGGGCTGCCAGGTACATGCGCCCTTGCCGCACTGTTGTGGCGACTATCACTAAAGGTGGATACAGGGCCATCACAGAACATAACTCGCGGGCAGATTGCAGTGTGCAGTGTCTATTTGGGCGTGCATATTTTGATGGCACCCTTTTGGGGTGGTTTAAAAGGAGAACCAAAAGCCCCCACTTTTCAGGTCCCCCCCTTTTGAGACAAGCCCATTTCGATACTTGTGTGGGTGTTTGCTTCCCAGGTGAGAGATCCAATCGCTTGACACGTTTCTGAAAGAAGCAATGGAGAACCACTCTGCCCAAGTGGCTTTTTCCAGGTCCCACAAGCCGAATCGGCGGCAACGATACCGGCCCAAAAGGCACCCGAGACCACCCGCCTTGTCTCTAATCGCTTCCAGCCGATGTGCGGAGTCAGGATGACCTGCGAGAAAGCACATGAATCGTCGGAGCTCGGTTTCTTTGTTGGACTGGGCCGGAAAAAGCGCGCGACAACCATAGCACTTAACTCAAAACCATCCGGAAAAGCTTGTGATATTGACTCAAAGAGCACAGTCCTCACATGAATCCCTCATGCCTTCTTCCGGATGTGATGAACCCATCAGAGCAAACCCAAGTCTCACTGGCCGTATTCTCAGCGACTGTGCGAATTCATGTTGACCATCGTCAGGGTTCTCGAGAAGGACAAATCCAAAGCGCACATGTTTCAAAGCCATGACGGCAAAGACAATTGGCTGTGGGTCAAAACCAATGGTACCATTCTGGGGTAGGTGCACCACCCATTTTAGTCTATTTTAGCGGGGATTGGGATGTTCACTGCGGGCATGGGATTTTGACCCATGACCAAGTGGTCTCGTTAACACATAACGGACCAACATCATCCGTCGAGAGTCGAGATTGTTTTGATCTACATGATGAGTGCCATGCTGAGGCTCTGTAGCAGCCAAATATTATTGTCAGTATGTGGCTCTCTTAAGGATCATGGCTGTCCGTCCTCTATGAATGCATCTGACACTTTAACAAGTAACACTAGCAACAATCACTGTGTCAAGCGCAAGAATGCAGCTCATCGGCTACCTACTCTCATGTAGGGCAGTGCAATCCCTGTTTTCGCTTTTGGGAAAGGTTTCAAATCCGCCCACTCCGCAATCAAAGCCACTGAGAAAGAAAAACACAACGAAAAATGAAACTTCCCCTCCAAGAAAACCCACGCCGCCCAAACACCGCGGGCAAAGGGGCATTCTCCAGGTGGTATAGCGGGTTGTCCTCCGTGGGGGGCTCTGTCTCTTGGACGTCCAAGCCCGCGCCTGGTCGGGCGGGCTTTTTTTGGCCCCTGTCACACAGGGAACACCTACATACAGAAATGGGTGTGTCTGGTTCTTGGAAAAAAAGAGAGAAAAAGGGGATTGTCCTTTTCAAGGTGTTGTTTTAAAAAGAGAAGGTGCCCTCAAAAAAGACCCAAATCAAGCACAGAAAGGTCACACACAATGTCGGTCGAGCAGATGATCGTACCTCAACAAACTCCTGGGAACAAACTGTCTGGACACGTGAAACGCGGAGCCTTGGGAGACTTGTGCCCAAATGTCGCTTTAAATACTCAGCGCAAGAACCCATAAACAATTAGACACATGAGAATAATGTAGAATCAAAACCCGTATTTGCATGAGACTCGGACTAAATCTATCCGTTCCAAACCTGGACCTGTCAACGCCAGGAAACCCTGAAGCTTGAGGTGTGATGAGGCTGATCCTGCCTGCTACGTTTCGGCAAGCAAATGGTTCTTGTTTTCTATGCTGCTGTGCTGCTGTATAGCAAGCAAGATCAACTGGACAAGAAAAACACATACGTTGTCCACCTGGGGCCAGGCAATCCATGCATGCAGCTCTGGCAACCAGCCGGTGGCTCTTTTCAGTACTTGCGGAATAACCTCTTGATGTCAATCACACTGCACGTTCTCTCACTTCCTGAGCGGATGGGCCAAAACAAGTCCCAAACTGTGTGCTCTTCTCCACCAAAATGGTGGTAGAGGTGCTTGCTTTTTCCTGGGGCGGGTGTTTTCCTGCGGGCTTTCCGCAAAGCTGGCAACATCCCATCACCAGCCTCACTTGGCCCATAAGTTGCCGGCTGCTTTAAGCTAGGGGGGCTTAGGCGAAGGGCTGACATGGCTGCCGTTGGGCGGATTTAGGGTTGACTTGGGGACCGGGGGCTGGCTTGGGCTGAACATGGAAGCGCTTCGGCTGGTGTGACCTGTTTGTTTGTGTGTGTGTGTGTGTTTGTTTGTTTGTTTGTTGGTTGTTTGTTTGTTTGTTTGTTTGCTTGTTTGCTTGTTTGTTTGTTTGTTTGGTTGTTTGTTTGTTTGCTTGTTTGTTTGTTTGTTTGGTTGTTTGGTTGTTTGCTTGTTTGTTTGTTTGTTTGTTGGTTGTTTGTTTGTTTGTTTGCTTGTTTGTTTGTTTGTTTGTTTGGTTGTTTGTTTGTTTGTTTGTTTGCTTGGTTGTTTGATTGGCTGGTTGCTTGTTTGTTTGTTTGCTTGGTTGTTTGATTGGCTGTTTGTTTGTTTGTTTGGTTGCTTGTTTGTGTGATTGTGCTTTTGTTTGTTCCAAAGCCACCTGTTTAGTCTTGGCCAGGCGATAACCCAAGTTCTTCGATCGCAGTTGTTGTGCCAGGAGAAAACAAGTTTACCGCACTATTCCTTGATCTTCCAGGACCCGAAAAAGCAGGCCCCTAAACCCTGGGTGATTTTATTCTTGTCAACCAAGAGCAAATTCAAAAAGGACCCTGTTTTTGCGGGTCCTTGGAAGATCAAGGTATTGTTGAAGAAATCAAGCACAAGCCCTGCAAAGCCTTGGGATGCAGGAAACCACTTAGTTATTGGCAAAGCGCGAACATGCTTCCAGCTGCACAACCGCCGAAGCTTGCTTCCAAAACCAAAGTGCCCTTGCAGAATTGGCTATCCTGCTCTGACTAACTGCCGCATGAGTCGCTGCCGTTTTCTTTTTGTGGTAGGAGGGCGAGATTGGTGAATCACACAGGGCAACTTGAAAAGCTTCAGGCTGGTCGCGCCTAACAATGACCAAACGCCCATCACATCAAGCTGAAACCCACACATCAAACACGTTTTCATCCTCAGAGACCCTCACGTAGGTAGCACAGAGGCGTCCTTTGAGAATGATGCTTGAAATTCCATGCTTCTTTGCGGGTATGGCCCAGTAGTGAGCCTCCCAGCTGCTTGCTCTACAAACAAAAGGAGTCACACACCAAAGCTACCCACTTGCAGCTTGGTGACAGTACATGGTACACGTTCTGCAAGCTGATGATGGGAACAATAAACTATGCCTCTTGGAATAAGGCCATCCGGTGATTGGTTCAATTACAAGTTTTGGCATAAAAGGAACCCAGATTTGCACGCCGCAAAAAACAAAAAGGCGTTCACCGGTTCAGGAAGAAGGAACTCAACTGGGGCCTTAGCTGCCCAAGTCGTCACAATCATCCGCAATTGCTGCGCACCTTGCCTGCAATGCCCTTGTTGTGAAGGACTTCAATGAGGTCATCCTCCTTGAACAGTGGCACACATGTATGTGGCTTGTCAAAATCATGGACCCCTTGGAGGGAGCCCCCAGAAAATGCCAGGAGGTGCACAAAATGCAGACTCAGGTCCAAAAGCGGGCCTCACCTTTTGACAAGCCCCCGTGTGCTCTCCGCATGCCATGAATATGATGGTTACTTGATAGCAGCCCACACACTAGAGAATTCAGTGGATAAGTGTGTGCTCTTGGGGTAATTACTGTCCTTTCCCAAGCAAACCTGACACGACGTGCTTACCCGAGCTATTGTCCGCCTTGAGCGTGTCAGCCAACAGCGAGTTTGCCACAGATGCTCTGGCAAATAGTGCAAAAGTGTGTGCATCATGAACTTGCCCGAGTAGTTAACTCGCCTGATTAGTTTATGCTGCGTGGGCTTCGCAAAGACTCAGCCGCACAATCAGACGCCTCGTATCATGATGGCCGTGTGATGTGTTTCTGCAACGTCCCGTCTCAACTGGTGCCCAAGTTCCAGAACAGAAAGCCAGCTCACGTCGTGTCTCTGGGCATGACGTAGTTACTGTGGGGAGCCAAGGCAGCCAACTGCCACGGTTCAGCGAACCTGACCCAACAAAAAAATGCTTAACAATTGTAATGGCATTGACAAAGTGGTTTGGGGTTCCATGCCGACATCCGCCGCACTATCCAGTGTTGGCTTCCGATTGGGTGGCAACCGCGCTTCATCAACACCGTTGCCCAATAGCAGCCAAGAAATCCTTCGAAGCCAGCCAGGCTTGGTGCGGCATGGTGCCCAGTTCTCTTCCGCCCGGCAAGTGGTGAAATGAGGATGTCCTCAGGAGCCCTTTGTAAGCGTTTCAAGGCCCATGGTTGAAGCCAAGGCCGCCAGAGCGGTTTCGCAGAAAAACTTTCGACCCGTTTGCCATCAACCCCCAAAAGTGGGTCCCTGTACTTCAATCAAGGAAAACTCCTCCAAAAAATGGCTAAAGACCTCGCAAACAGAGAAAATGCGGTCCTTCCACCTACAAGGTGCTTCAAGTTGCTTCGGAAGGCCTGACTTTGAATGAGTGTCCTTCTCGTTGGTCCTGGGGGAAAAAAAAAGCCAAGCTCCGCCCTCCCGGCCCTCCCGGCCAGTCCTTGATGAGGGAGCCCCGACCTGAAACAGTTCGTTGAGCCCTCCAGAACCAATTCTTGGAACCCTAACGTCTCGAGCGGTGTGCCTTTCTTTGTTGGTTTTGTTTGTTTGTTTGTTTGTTTGTTTGTTTGTTTGCTTGCTTGCTTGCTTGTTTGTTTGTTTGATTGCTTTTTCTTCATTGCTTGCCTTTGTGTTTCGTGTTTCTTTGGTTTGGTTATTTGTATGTGTCTTTTGTTTGTTGGGTTGTTTGTTTGGTTTGCCTATGAAAGGCTTGTACCTACCCCCGCTCCATCTTTGGCTTTGCCGAACCTTCGAGTGTCAGTTCGGGTTGCAACCAGTTGGTTGTTCCCTCTTTCCGTGCCACTCATGTGTGTCTTAAAATAGGGGGACCCCCCCAAAATGGTGATGGTCCTTTTAAGCTTTCCCGTTAAACCCACAAGGGTGCCCGCAAAAGGGGCACACCCATGGTTATCTATGGAGAGACACGGTGTACCAGATATGGCTGTGGCTCAAAAAACCGGAATTCCGCAATGGGTTGCCCCTGGTAAGTGGAAACATGGACCAAAACCTGCGGTTTGCCGCTCCTGTTTAATTTTGAGCTGAGCCATCATCGCAGCCTGCACCTGACACTGGGAACAGTGGTCACTGGACCACTCTGAGCCGTGCGCATCGAGCCAACCCACCAAGCCAACCCACCAAGCCAACCCACCATGACACTGGCACTGCCAATTCGCTGTAGGCTCTTGTGCTGCGCTTCAAAGGATCTCACATGACTATGTTTGGGTGATGGGATGTTTTCTTCTTTAAAAAAACAAGAGAAGAAACAACTTGGCCCATCGGAAAATGCCAGGTTTGAAAGAAAGAATCACTTGAAGTCCAATAGATTGCTTCATCCGTGTGCTCGCTGCACCCTGAACTCTTCACAAGCAAACCATGGCGTCAGTTGCTTGCATGTTGTGGATACACTCCTTCTGGGTCAAGGGGAATGTTCCAGGGCATGGTGTCTGTTTTTTGCAACCTCTCTGCAGCGCTTGCAGATGAAAATGGACACAATTCTCCAAGAAAAGAAGCAGTGGTGTCGTCCTAAGAGCCGCTAGAACCCGAGAACGCCCAATGGCCAACAGCAGGACATTGGAATCCCATGTAGGGCATTGACACTCTGTCTTTTGGCATGACATGCTGTTCGAATGCCTCGCAGCCAGCTTTCCCCCGAGCAGCTTTTCGCCGAAAGCGCCGAGCTCTCCGAGCGAGCTCTGAGCTCTGAGCTCTCACCGTCGAGCGACATCGACACGGAAAGCTGCGGCCTGTGTTGATGAGGTACGCCGTGGGCTTCATAAGCTTCAGGGTGTCCTACACGCGAAGGGGTGAACCGTTTCTGGGACTGGAGGAGTTTTTGATGCAAACCATGGCAAACCATGGCAAACCATGGCAACACATGGTATCTGTAACAGGCAAAACACGGCAAAACCCACTTACACAACGCCAGTTCTAAAGCAAGGTAAGCAGGTCACACGTCCTTGCGCAGAAGCGGGAGACAAACCTTGGATTCGCAAACTTGGCTTTTGGAGCCTTGGATCATAAGAATTCTCCCGGCGAGCTCAATGCGGCCCAAATCATCGGCTCCTTGTTGATCAGGTGCTTGGTCTCTGCATTCAAAGGGCAGTGCAGGCTCACGAAGTCGCCTCAGCTTGAGGGCTTGAGGCGGCGGGCGACTTGCCAGGAAGTCAAACCGGGACAAAACATGCTGGCTTGTTCAACAAGACATCCCATGTAGGCCAGGGAGCCAGTTCAAAATGGCCTTGCCGCAAATGCAGCCGAACATTCATCCCCCAAAGGCCTACTGTATGCGTCTTGCAAGCTTCTTAGAACCTAGGCTTCCGCGGTACCTGGCAAGGCTTTGCGTGCCTTAAGGGTGATCACCTGGCTCAAGATGGCCACCCCGAGTCAAAAGCGACTCAGAGAGGCCAAAGAGCCCCCAAACACAAAAGCTTTCCATTGTTCCTTTCGACCACATCCTTCAAACAGGGTTGGATGGATCCTTCCAGGTCTCTTTGGTTGAGCCACAAAGCCTGGCTTGCGCAAGCTACCTCCTCCGTGCCCTCTGATCTCTACCGCCTATGCAAAGGGATCCAACGGAGATCCGCGAAATCGCGTCACCGGGCTTGACCAGCCTGTCAACAAAATTTACGGCGAGCCCAAAATTTCCGGAGCCACTCCAACAGAAAGCTCGTGCCCGAATCGATCCAGGAACTGGATCTTGAACTGCCCCAGACTCCCTCCGATCCTCGACTGCCTGAGGCAACGCATGGGTTAAGAATTCATCGGAAATCTTTGCCTCGACTCCAAGCCAAGCGGCTGGTCCTCAGAAGCTCCTGCACGCTGTGCACGCGAGAGCGCGTGCCAAACACGGGAGCCCAGCAGGTTGACTGGCTGGGTCGACGTGCGTGCCATTTCGCTGCACGGGCTGTGCCCATTTCACCATGAAATGACGGCTCACGGATCATAGGTCGCTTGTGGAATGCGCACCATGTTTCAGGGTTGCCAACAACGCATACAGCAAACAACGGCCAAACAAATGGATCGAAACTGACAACACGAGGCACAGAATCAACCCGCAACGGTCCAGCTGTTAAACAACTGTTAACGGAAAGCCAGCTCGATCCTTATGTGGAATTTGCTCAGTCCAGAGGGTCAAACAACTTTTGTTTTAACGAAACCGTTGCCGAGTGGCAGTTTGTGTGGATTCAGGAAGCAACCGACTTCGGACATCAACATGAATTCATGCATGTGAATAATTTCCGGATGACCCCTTGGCCTTTTCACAAATCAGTTCAATTGAGCAGAGCCCAAAACCCATTGACTTTTTGTTCAATCCCATCTCGATGGTTCATACCTACTAACAAAACATGGTTAGACCGGGTTGCAATCACTTTCAATTTACAATGTTTGGGTGTTTGTCTCAAGGGAACCCCCCCCCCCACCCCCCCACCCCAAAAAAAAACATACATACAGTATATACACATATAATTCTTGTGGTTGCCTTTTAAAACCATCCAAAAAGGGAAACCTTCCAAGAATTGGCCGCCGTTTCATGCATACCTTGCGCAGCACTGATTTGGATTCGCGCTTCGATGCTGTCCTCCAGTGGCAGTGCGTTGGGCTTGGGGCTCCGGCTGGTAAGCACCACCTCACGTGGCTGTGGGTCAAAACCGTTTTGGGATCCCATTTTGGGGGATTGGTGCACCACCCATTTTAGAACCTATTTCGGTGGGGATTGGGATGTTCACTGGGGGTACGGAATTTGACCCATGGCCACATCACCTCACATGCATAGGTGTCCTTAAAAGGAGGAAATAGATGGGTTTCCCTGGTAGATGAGAAAAAAAAACCACCAGGTAAACCAGGAATCGAAACCCATCTATTTTTCGACCAAAACAACCTAAAAGGACACCTATCCTCACATTGTGCTGGTGTTTTGGTGACGATGCCCGTTTCGGGGTACCTTTCTTCGGGGACCCTGTTAGCTGTAGTTCTGTCTGACTGGGTTGGACCTGGGCAAGCCTGGGTTCAAAAGAGTCCAACTTTTTGCAGACACAGCCAAGTTTGTGGAGGGGTCTTTGAGGAAACGCCAAAGGGAAGCCACCCATTTTGGAGGTCTCGCACCTAATATGCCTTCATGCTACGGATGCTACGGGGTATGGCCACAATTTGGATGACATGGGCACTCCGCAAAAGTTGACACGAACTCCAATTGCGTTGACATGGTGTTGCACACCAAAAGTTCATGGTGCAACTTTTGACATGGTTTTGGATGACATGGGCACTTCGCAAAAGTTGACATGAACTCCAATTAAGGTGTTGCACTAGGAAACTTCTCTGTGGGTTTGAGGGTTCCAATGGCTTCCTTGTCTTTCGGGAGAGTGAAACTGATTGACCAAAGGAAAGTCGACATGAAGCAAAATATATGTCGTTATCGTTTGGTAGGGGAGCTGTTGTTTTGACAGTGACATGAAGAGCCAATGTCCAACTGCGTAGATCAACCACCAGGCGCAAACATCATGGGGAATCTACTTCCCCTCCTTGCAATATTCAAGGCTTCGGCCAAAACAAACCCGTGCCATTGTTGCTCGCACTTTAGCTTCTTCTGGGCAGCGTGGTTGATGGCTTTCAAAAGGCTCCGATGGACAACATATTTATATACTCTTGTCCCAACAACTAGCAGGGATCCTTACATTCTACACCTGAACATTGCCTTGTAAATGGTGGTTTCCCTTTATTTTGGTGGAAAAAGCCACGTTTCAAATGAGCAACATGTATATTTTAAGGAGCCCTGAACTAGCCATACGCGCTTACATCAGATCCTACCCGCATCACTCATTTGGGTGTGGCCTTGAGTAGTTTACTGAGGTGTCCAGAAAATTGGCCAAGTCTGCCAACGCCCGCGGAAGAAAACATTCACGGAACCAATGGCTACTATAGTCACATGCGCGGTGCACGCCAATCATGCATGTGCAAGTCGCCAAATGTGACCAATACGATTCAAGGTTTTCTTGTGAATGTCCCATCATCGAGTCGCTGTTTCGGTGACCCTCGACCAGGGAGACTGTGTACGTAAGTTTCGCTTCAACAATGTGCGAAACTGTAACCAATAACCGTTTAGCAACCCCTCCACTCGCAGGGATCACTCAGTAAAACTGTGTTGGCAGTGGAAACAGTGATTTGCTTTGCCGAGTTCACTTGCCAAGCATTGTCGAAGACTATCATATCATCCTCCACCTCCACATGATATGTAAATCTTCACAATCGGAATCCTGCGCTGTAGTCAAGGAAGTGTGCCGTGTAGCTTCTTCAGTACGTAAGCTGAACAAGAAGCATGGCCTATCAGGATCTATATATGTTGCTTGCCTAGCAAAAACATGTATTCGAGTTTGTTTGCGAGACCAATGTCCTCAACGGATCACCCACACGTCGTGTCAACCAGCTTGTGAGTAAGTCGCTGACATGTGCCAGTGGGCCAATATGTTAGGTCAAGTCATTCGTTCAGATTCCTTTGTAACAAACCACATTGACGCTGTCTCAGGAGTCACTGCATGTTTCCTTCAAAAGTTGTCATTTGCTGCTGGGTATCAGTGTGAACACGCCCCCTCTGTGAAGCTTTTTTATGGGGTCACTCGCACCAAACCGCCTTCATGCCCAGATTCTCTGCGAGCGCGGAGACCTCCGGGCAGAACTTGAAGCGGCAGCTGCGGTTTGGAACTCGTCCGTTGAAACGAAGCTCTTTTGGGGGGAGTTCAAATGATGGGGAACAAGCACTCGTGATGGTTTCACTTGACCGGTGTGGGAAGAGGCCATGTTCGAGAGATTCGTCCATCGGGAGGAACACCAACACTAAGCTTCAGCGAGAATGAACCGTTGGCATTTGCCCAAGGGCACAGCGGCACCTTCACTTGGTTGCTTTCTGCTCCCGTGCTAAAAGTTTAACTTTTAGTGGTTTAATGGAAAACACATTAGTTGGCAAAAAGTATAAAGTCCTAACATCCAAGCAAAATGCACCCAAGTTCAAACCAAATTCAAACTCTTAAGCCATGGGAGCTTTGGCCACATGAATCAGTGACAAACTCAGCTGGCACCGTGCCTAAAGAGGTCCAACTTCTGACCCAAGGTTCCGTACGACCAGCCGGTCTGGCGGGAATCCGCCAAAAAAAAACGGGGACTCCTTGTGGAACATCGATGGGCGCAACCGAAAAGACCTCCCAGCTCAGCTTCCCTCGTTGGATTGGAGCCCGGTGGTTTGGTGCTGAAATGGAGTTCCCATCTTCCACAACAGCCCGGGTTCAAATCCCAAACCAATCCAAATCACCAACTAAGCGCTACCTGACCAGCGGTCATCCCTTCAAAATAGAAGCCGTAGATCCCCAGAAGGCAATTGATTGCACTCGCAACAATCGGAAAAGGAGGCCGATGGCGAACCTTGCTGCGTGAGCACAGCTTCAAAGCTCACGGTTGTTTGCTTGGCAGAATATGGCAGCAACTCTTGAGGGCCTCTGGCTGGGCAATTCTTGACGGCTGCTGGCTGGGCAAAACAAAAATAACAGATCTTCATGGTGCTTGCGGACTTGCAGGTCATAGGTATTTCTCAGTTCAGGACTTTCACATCGGTTGGAGTCAGCATGCAACATGACTGGTGCCTCATCACCTAAAGTAACGATCGATCAAGTGGATGGCCCAACAAATCAGTGTCTTTCTTTGAGGGTGCCCCGTGTTTGGCGGTTTCAAAGGGAAGCCAAAAGGAAACCTGCCATGTTTGGGAGGTCCACTAAAAACGGTGGGTCAAACATAGGTACCCAAAATGGACCCTTGTAAATGGAACCAAAGACTAAAACCTGCCGTCTGGTGGATTCATTTTGGCCCATACCCATCTCATAAACATAGAGATGGGAAGTACAGGTCAACATGTACCACTAAAAATACCATCCATTGGTTTCTGTGGGTTCCTCCTTGGATTTCTCCAGTGGCCAGTGGCAAGGGACATCGATCGGATGGAATCGAGCCTGGCTGCCGATGCCCCCAGAGCCGCCGATCAGGCCCAGGGTTTTGCCCTGGAGCTCGAAGTGGGGCACCTCGTGGCACGAACCAAATGACATATATTGACATTAACAAATAGACATAATTTCATACGGCCATATGTAATGTTGTGTAAAACCTGCAATGTTTTCTATACATAGTTGTTTGTTCATATTAAACCTATAGAAAACATTTCAACAAAAGCAACACAGAACACACCGCCCCCCATCAAACAACACTTGCGATCGGTGCCGGTAGGGAATGTGGAAATGAACCCTTTGGGATATTTTTTTGTAAAGGAAACCCGGCGCCATCATGGAAGCTGTACCCAACAGACCCACAGGCCGGCGTCCAAAAAGGGGCGGTTCTGTTGCTAGTGCCAATGGAATCCCTGCCAGGAGTTGTTGTCCTCAAGAGAACTTCTGACTTTCATCAGTCTTGGCGAGTGAGTCGTAATCAAAACCGATCGGTATGAGAATCGTCGATCTTCAGAACCATGCTTCAAGAACTCAAGCAAACAGTTCCGCACCCATGGCTGGGAGTGTCCCTTCCAATCACCCGGGTTTTGATTGTCACTCAAATAACCAAACGCAATTCCACAAAGAAACTGAAAAAATCAACTGAGAGGCTCCCAGTTCCTTACTTTCTTGGTCTGGCTGGGGCTTGGTACTCTGCGAGTAACCATGCCCTCGCCCAAATGGATTTGTCTCAAGATGGGTCCGTCTTAACTCAGATGCCCAGTGGCCATGAGAAAAGAAATGGGTGTGGGTCAATATTATGGCGTGGAACGTTCCGCGGTGACGCGGACGTCTGGAAGGAGTCAGTTACGCAAGGTCGCTTGTTCCGGACCTCTGGGAGGACATGCGTGGAGTCCTCGATAGATGGATGGATGAATGGATGGATGGGTAGATGGATGGGTGAAGCGACTAGGGGCGCGCCGCCATCGTTGCCACCCTCGCATCATTGGGAAACCGATGCACTGTAGTCACGCCCGCCGCGCGCGCCAGCCGACGCACAAGGCTGGGAGGCGTAAGCCGATGTCCACCGATGCGCAAGCCGATGCAGGGTATCCTTCAAAGAGTTCTTTGTCTCCAAAGCCCTGGCACGTGTCGTCCTTGAAGGCTTCTTGGGTGGCGGGCCGCGTAAGAAGCGCAGCTACTTACATGGCGCATGTGTGTGCATGTCGACTTTTTGGCAAATTGCTCCGCTGCGTCTGGAACACGTCTGGAACGGGTCTGGAACGGGGTCTGGAACGGTTACGCGAGTGGCTTGCAGTTTGGGATGCTAGCAAGCCGCGTGTAAACATGGTCGTTTCAACCGAGAACGGTATCGAACCGTTGCCGTATCGTATCGAAAGCGGCGGAATTGTATCGCGCCGAACCGAACCAAAGTTCCGGAACACCGATACTCCTTTCTTCATTTCTTTCTCCTTCTTTCTTGCTCCTTTGCTCCTTCTTTCTTGCTCCACGCCATTTCAGCCTTGGCCATTGCACTTGCACACCGACAAAGAACGACCATCTGAATCAATACTCTAGAATCTGGAACGGAAGGTCTGGAACATGTTTCTAGGCAAGGTCTGGAACGGAGGTCTGGAACGGAGGTCTGGATCGCATGTGGGTTCCGGACCCTGTTCCGGACCTTATAAATTGACTCGCAGCCAAATGAAGAAGCGCCGCACTGGCCAACTGGGTGAAAATAGGGGGACCCACAAAATGGATGGTTTTCCTTCTAGTTTCCCGTTCAACAACTCGAATGCAAGGATGCCCTCCAAAAAAACACCCCCCCAAATGGGGGAACCCCAAAATGGTGGGGTTACAAATGTTTGTTTCCCTAAAGAAAGGCGAACTCAAAAAGCGATGAGGCCAAAGGAGCAGCACTGAGCTGGCCCGGTGGCTTGGGTCATTTGAGTCCAGGGTCCTAGAGATCTGATGGACATCACCTTTCGTGGCCCAGGTGATGTTTGGACCAGCGGAGGGCTCCTGAACAAAAAAATGCGGGGCCACTCCATAGGAATGGCGAAAATCTTTGAGCACCACGGGTCCAAGGTGTCCTTGGTTCTCTTCAGCAATCGCTCTCTTTAGAAACCACACCATTTTTCAGGGTTTGGCCCCCTTTTTGAAGAGAAGGTTCCGTGAAGCGAATGGGGAGGGTACAGGGCGAGGAAAACGGTTGATCAATCATGAGAGGTCTTTTGTCGGGCCGGTCAAGACCACCCAGGAATTGCTTGTGAGGTCAACCAGCAGGTCTGCCAACTTGTAACTCCATCAAAACACATAGAACAAATGATGCATCAACTGGCCATCTGATGCTAGGCTCCAGAAAGAGTATCGGCCGATTCTAAAGTCGACTCTTCACATCCCGCCTGAAGGCTCTTGGTGAAGTTGTCCCGATTGCCCTTCCTCACCAAATCCCAAATGAGTGCGGACATAGAGATACCTTTTGGAAGGAGTTGCCGAAGAATGGCACACCTCAAATAGCAATGTCAAACCCAGAACTTCCTCGGCCATTAAATAAATGTTCTTGGGACAACGCACATTTCTTGCTCGAGAAGGGACATTTTTTGCATCCACTATGGGGGGGCAATTTATTCGAGTGATCAGGGCAAATTGACACCAGAGACAAACCATAGATCAACCATAGACCAACCATAGACATACCATTGACATACCATAGACATACCACTGGCAAACCAGTCGGAAAACCATAGGCAACAAAAAGCTGCTACGAAAATTATGGTGTAAGTCAGGGGGACTTGATTCCGCAGAAGGGGAAACACGTTGCAAAGTCAGGGTATTCGCATCAGGTCGAGTCGTAAAAAACGAAATTTGTTGAGCTCGTTGCTTGCGACCGAGAGGGACCGTAGACAAACCGTACACCACCCGTAGAGAGTACATGTTCTGCCGTAGAAAGTACAATTTTTGCCGTAGAACGGCCACTTATTGCCGTAGAAAAGACATTTTTTGCACACCCCGTTCTTGCACCATTTTGGTGTCTATTCGCGGCACGTGTCTTCTCAGGCCTTTGTTGCTCTTTCCTAGCTTGGCATTGGCCAAATATGCATCCATGGATTGATGGATGTATGCTGGACTAATATGTCAAATAAAGAGTTCCCGAGCCCTGCCCCATGGCTGACGTTGGCAAGTTTCTGAAGAAAGCCCTGCGAGGTGCACGAAGCACTCGCAAACTCGGCAAAATGGGACTGTGCAGCCCCTTCCAGCTACTTTCACATAGGATTTTCGTGAAAATAATGTTCCGACCTAATTGAAGCAACAAAAAATGCCTTTTCCCCGAAAATGTACTTTACCACCTCGGCCAGGTATTTAATGTCCTTTGGAAGTCTAGGGAAAGGTCGCACCATACCCGATCATCGTAAGTCGGGAGCTCAAAAAAAAATCCAACCGACAAAAACAAGGGCAATAATCATCACTCAGCTCGGACATAGGAGCCTTTGATGCAGTGGCAGGCCAGCAGGATGGATCATCTGCTGTGCCGTCCCATTCCACTTCGACAAACTAGCTGCGAGCTCTGCTGGCCCAGAGGGTCTCCTGGTAGCTACGTACTGAACGACCCAGTTTGACCCCCCAAAAGCCATCTTCAGAAGGTATGAAGGGACCCTCTGGGGGAGAAAAACTGTGTCTGACTATAGTGAACCAGGAGCCATCTCGGCAAGATTGATCTTCAGCATCCCGTGGTTGACGTTGGAAGGGGAGCAGTTAAGTGGGGATTTTCCAGTAAACCACAATAAGCAAAAATGTAAAATGTTTCCCAACAACAACCATGATCCCTCTCTGTCTCTCTCTCGCGCTCTCTGCTCGCCGAGTTGCTGCAGCATACCTCACGAGGGGCAACAACCATTGGAAGTCTAAAAGCAAATGACACCTGGTGGCGGCTGATCCCAGTTGCTCGCACGCATCAGCATCTAAAATGACCTAAAAAACTGCCCAAATAGAAACCAAAGCAAAAGCCAAGCTGTCAGAAGCGAGCCCCTCTGATGTTGTACAAGGTTGTACATCCCTGGGCTCTTGCTGGACGGCCTCTTCGGGTCGAGTTGGGCTTGCCTCTCCAGCAAGCATTCAGAAGCTTTCGGCATACAGCTTTGCGGCTTATTCAACTTTATTCTTGACCGACACACCAACAAAGATAAGCGGCGGAAGATGCAACAAACCCGCGCTTGTGACTTCACCCTCCTGAGGTGCGGCCAGGGCACGCATCTGCGGAACTAGCGAGCAGGAGAAATTCCTCGGGCGCGCTCGTCGGCCCGAAAACCGACGATGGCACCGACGAAAACAGCCCGTGCCCGGGCTGAACGCAAGAAAAAAAAACAACACTCCTCTGGATTTGGTCACCTGGAACTTGCCAGCAGCTATGTTGGGTGAGCTCCTAGTGAATTATCCCTGCTCAAAGAGCTAAGAGGCGCAGTCTCTTTTGCTTAAATCCAACGAAGTGACATGTCCTTGACCGGTTTCCCCGCCAATGCCGTCTGGCCAACAAGCAAGTGCCGGCCGCGCCCCCAATCAGAAAGAAATCTGACTCGACAGGCATCTAAACATACTCGTGCAGAACAAGCAAAAACGTTTTCCGAGGAAGCAAGCTAGGTCGAGGCCGCCGCCAGAGGCGAAAATGTGGTGCCCTCTTCTAGCTGGTTTGTGTGTCAATTCCGAAGACCAAGCACAAAATAAAGAAGAAGAAACAACAACGTTGCGGTAATTCAAACAACGAAACGGGTTCTGATTTAAACAAAGAAAAAAAATGGACAATCACTGGAGCTTGAGCCGGTTTCAAGCCGAGGCTCAGGATCAGGGTGAAGACGAGGTGTGCCACTGCGTCACTGCTGTACCTCGGGCGGCTGATCGAAGCAAAACGCCGTGCCACACCCAAAGGGTCCCTTGGTAGCTTCTGAGGATGGCTCAAAAGGGGGGTCAAAAGGGGTCGAATTCAGTACCTCCTGAGGTACCAGGGGACCCTCTCTGGGACAGAGGAAAAACACCGGTCATTTTGGGTTTGGTACTCATTCTGGGTATCCAAATGAGGATAACATCAGCCGTACATAGAGATAGATCACATTTTGGCCAGTGCCATTGAACGGGTCTTGGGATTTATGCATGGCAGGCGGCGGATACGCCAAATTTATGCATGCCGAGCACATGCACAGAACCAACTCTCGGTGGAATCCGCCGCAGGGGAAGAGTCTGGCTGCAATGTTTGACTGGCCGGTCTTTGATAAGCTCCCGTATGTTTTCTTGTTGGTTTGGAAGGCCATCTGATCATTTGCTGGCCCCACAAACTCATTCCGTTGACTTTGCAAAGTTCCCTCACGCGGGGCAAAATAATCATGGGATCCCGTCATAGCTCTGAAATGAAAACCGTTCATGAAAGTCAAGTCTCTTCTCAATACCCACCCCCAGTCCATGCAAACATTCTGGAAGTGGTTGAAGCTTGCAAGCGGGCTGGAATCCCTGGTTCTTTGATATCTTGAATCATCCACACGGTGTGTACTCCGTGTCAGATCAGCCATAGGCTCCGAGAGAAGCCGTTTGAGGGAATACCTCTGTGATCTCTGTGTCTTGCTCCCTGCTTTGGATCCAGCAGCTCAAGGGGAAGCAATCCAGTTTGGGGAGCACTGCAACTTCCCCGTGTTTTTGCGCTTGGGTCTGAGTAATCCGAAACAGAGCACAGTTGTGAAAATCCAGGCAAATCAAGCCGAACATCTAGTGAGACGAGTTAGCTCACCCGATTAAGTGATCTCTGCCGAGCTGCGCGGGGCAGTTGCAAACTTTGACGCCTTTGGCCTGGCAGTTGCAATCAATTTGCCATTCAGAGTCACACCGAAAGTTCATTCGGCCGCCTCTCTACGAAGTAAAGTCACCCTGAGAGTGGCCACTATGGGGCTGTCTTGGAATCCCCACCGGCCAGTTTGAGGCTCGCAGTTGTGAAGCTCTGCACTCACCAAGCGTGTTCAAAGACAAAACTAGCGAGATGTGCTTCTCAGTTAGTTGAAGTAAGCCCTTGCCCAACAACAGATCCATAAATCTGCAGGAAACCCTTCCATCTGAGCGCCGTAACCGATGCTTTCAGCTCGGTGGAAGGAATCATTTTGGAGATAACAGCTTCAAGCGGCCCACGATTGACAAGAAAATGAACACCACCCTTCGCGTTTAACTTCTGGGCATTGAGTCCTGCAGAATCGAAACACCCGTCCCATGAATTCCATGAGGCTTCAGGACAGAGAAAAATCCGACCAAACATATGCTCGCACCACACTGCTTTTGGATGCAGACATTTTGCCTGCTAAGGCATCAATCCATGCACAACTCGCTTTTACGCCTGTATGATGGCTGCCTTCCAAACTGCGTCACTCAAGAATATGCCCACAGCTTGCGGCTCAAGGAAACCACCATAAGCAAAAATAAACAACATGTTTCCCAACAACAACCATCGCAGAGTCCAGGTCAAATCGCTAAGGACCAAATGCCATGGGTCAGCTGGCAAGCCGAAGAACAACCATGGGCTTGGCAACATTCCGATGCCACTCCGGAGCTGAGCCTTGGCTGCAGCCAGGTCCACGTTGTTGAAGCCAGTACCGGCCTGCACGCGCGACGCCGCGACGCCCGGGGGTTGGGAATGGACCGTACGGGATTCCCAAATGGCTGGTGGTTGGCAAAGTGACCCCAAAATGGAACCGTGATGAACCGTGGTAAATGGAACCAAACAACTAAAACCGGCGGTCCAATTCCTGGTGGTTTCATGTTGACCCATACCCAAACATAAACGAAACCACCAGTTGGATGGCTGAGTTTCATTCCATATTTCTCATTTCCTGCCTATCGAACCAGCAAGTAGCTTTCCGCGTGCCCGAAAAAGAAGAAGAAAAACAAACTTTCGCACTGGCAGTTGCACCGACGGAGCTACCCCAGCTGCACTTCAAGGAGTCCGAGCCCCGAGCGGCCACGAGACGGCCGGCAGCTTGCGCGTCCCAGTGGCCCAGTGGCCCAAGCCGCGTCCGCAGACCACGCAGATGCAATGCTTGCGTTGTGAATTGGTCGACCTCACCAACCCCAACGCAACCGATTTCTGAGGGAGGCAAAGACCAAACAGCCGCCTGAACCGGCCAAAAAGCACAAAGTATACCGCGGCAAGAGCGGCAACTCCTGCAGCCACAACATGCAACCGAGGCATCGATGACGCTGCAAACCATGGCGGATCATGGCGGGTATGGCTTGGTACCCGCCTCTTGGATGAGCTGCACAGATGGCGGGAACTTGGCGATGACGTCGCCGGGCACGGGGATCTCCTTGCCGTATAGCAAACACCCTTGCAAAGAAAGGACCCGGTTTGTCTTTGCAAGGCCAAAATGATTGCCATCCTATCAACATATACAAGGTGGCTGCAGCATACACTCTGATGGCGGAAGTCTGTTCGAATTACCTCGGAGCTCCGGGAAATTGAGGCAGGGCTGTCTTGGACTTGAGGACGGATCAAGTATTTCTCCCGGCTGGGCAAGTCAATCTTCAAGAGCTGGCCCCATCCAACAAGTGCAGTCACAGCTTGCTGAGCCCGAGCCTTTGGATGTGCTGCTAACATCTAACAAAACAGTTTGCCCATTGGAATGGTCTCAACATGTCTTCAAAAGGAATTTAAGACAGGGCAAAGACTGTTCCTCCTCGGGGACCCGTTCACCACTGGAGTCATGAAGCATCCCCCACAACCCCAACCCTCCGCCATTGGACACGAACGGCCAGGCATAACCCGTGCGTGCCAATGGTGGAGGGAGGGAAACCGCAACCTGAATCCCCACTTGCCTTGGAGATGACGATGTCCTGCCCTTGCCTTGTCGCGTGGAGGGATCATGCAGAGACACGCTTGGCCTATTGCATCCATACGAGGAAACGTGGCTCGAAGATCGAAGGTCCCCGAAATTTGGATGTGAGTTGAGGCATATGCGGACCCATCCAAGGGTCTCTAAGTTGGATCAAGCATCGCTGAGCTCAAGAAGCGCCCTGCTCACGGAGAGAGCTCAAGAAGCATACACGATACTGGACAAAACCGATCTTTGAAACCATGGGAATGAACCTATACTCTTTGTCGGTATTTCCGGGGGGGATTGGAATCGGTGTCTGAACGGTGCGAAATGGGCTGCGCAACCATTCACGGCACTTGTCACATGGCCATCCCTGGCATGCAAACATCGGCTTCGAGGAAAGCTCCCCGACAAACTAACAAGTACCACCCACCCACCCACCCACCCACCCACCCACCCACCCACCCACCCAGCCACCCACCCGCGCTTGCACGCACCAACAGACACACAAACGCACGCAAACACCCAAACGCACTCAAAAAAGCACAGACACATAAACAGGCATATATATATATATATATATACACGTATATATATATATTTATGTATTGCATTATATTATACATACACAGCATACACATACACATACACATACACATACACATACACATACACATACACAGACACAGACACAGACACATACACATACACACATGCGGGTGATCAAAATGTGCTTTACATGGGATGACCATTGGGAAAACACACTAACGAAATTATGTTTCCCACTAAAATGGAAAAAATGCCCTTGGTCTTTTGGGGTCCAGGAATATTCATCAACCCCCAAATATATATATATATATATATATACACACACACACATGCTCGCGCGCGCAATCCGTGCCTGCACGCGCATGTGTGCAGTGATCAGTGCAAGTTGGATAGTCGAGTAACAAGTGACACAACCGACATCATTCGCAATACAAAGTGTTCGAGATAGTTTCCTTCAAGGCTTGCACCACTTGAACACGCGCGAAACGAATGCAGCCGCAGCAGCAGCGATCGCAAAGCAAGTGTTAGCCCTGAAAACAAACTGCTTGAGGCTGGTATTCAGGAACACTACGCGGAAGACTCAAAAGATGCATTCCAAGACGCACTCTCTCCAGAATCTCTTCCGGAGTTGCGTCAGACTCGAAGCGCGTGATATCCTGGGTAAGTGGAGGAGCAAGACTGAAGGAGTCGCATGCGAACAGTCATTAACCTGGGTTGGATCGATGGAGGCAACGCAAACATCACACGCCAAATCCTGTTTTTGCAAACAATTGAACAGTTCAATCATGTTAATCTTGACCATCTCAGGGCCCATTGCCGGATGCCGGCTAAGATCCTAAAAAACAGTCAGGACTGAAGCAGGATAGCTCCTACAGTAGAACCCCTTGCATGAAACTTAGGGTAGGACGTCCCACTTTGCATCTAGCCAGAAACGCAGTCTTTTGACTTCAGGTCTCCCACCATGACCTAGGTCCACATTTCTTGCGCCTCTCTTTCGTAGCCAACGCAGTGCCTCGATTTCGTTACGCCGCGGATGCCGTGAGATCCCAATGCTTCGAGGCTCAATGGCGAAGCAAACGCTACCGATGGCTGGACAGTCAAACCAACCAACCAACCACCTACCAGGGTTAGCCCTGTGCCAGGGCTAGGCAAAAATAAATAAATAAATAAATAAATCCAACATCCAACAGAAACGCTGCCGAGCTCAGGGATCCACCTTTGGGATTCACGACTGAGTCCTGAGAACTCTCAGATGTCGGCACTTCCACCACGCGATTCTCGGATCCGAACCACGTCTTATCCTACAGCAATCTAGGGGTACCTTCCCCATTCTTTCCAGGGATCCTTCTTTTCAGAAAAGAACGATGGTTGAAAAGAATGGTTGGAATCAACCCCCCAAAAGCAAGGTGTCCAGATCTCTGGGAAAACGAGCAACACCACACCCCTTCCATTCGGCCGATCGTCCGCAAGCTGCTCGATCTTCGCCAAGCTGAGCTGTTTGTCAAAGTCGAGGCGCCCGGCGTTCAGAAGCACCACCTGTCTAAGGCGAAAAAGCTCCGGCGATACTCAAAACGGGACTTGACATAACAGGGATCCTGACATGAAATATGCCTTGTAAATGGTGGGTTCCCTTTATGTTGGTGGAAAAAGCATCATGCTTCAAATGGTTGCAAAATGTATCTTTCAAGGAGCCCTGGATAACCACCAGTATTTGCCTAAGGATGACCATCCGAATTGGGCCAACCAGTCTTTTTTTCTGGGGTTTGAACCCCAGGGACATGATTTGGTTGTCACCGGTGACCAGTAAGAGCCAGCGTAGGCAGATCCAAACCGTTGGCCCTTGCAACATGTCCTCTCCGGGTACAAGCTGCTCAAATCAGAAAGGCGGGGGACCAAAGGCCACCTGGAGGGATCCGCACGTTGGAGAAACACCAGACTCATCTATGGAAAAGGGTCCAGTGAGTCGAAGGCGGGACATTTTTTAGCGGCGATTTTGGCTTACCAAAAAACCGAGCTGGCGCTCGTTCTGCCCAAACGACCCCGACTCCAGGTAAATCTCGTCAATCGGGTCTCTGTGACGGGCATAAGGATATAAGAGGAACCTAAGGAACCTGAGCGTGAGAAGGGCGTGGCTATTTGCACCAGGTGCCAAAAAGCAGAAACAAAGGTCGTTCCCAAGTTCCTCATGGCGGAGCTCCTGAGAGCATTTAGTTCTGCTTTCTTCCCTTAAGTTAGGAACATAAAGCTAGATCATCCGGCTCCACCACGATAAGGCAAAGCCCTGCCAATTGTTGGTTTATCAGCTTCAGTGACAAAGGATAGTTTTGTGTGCAATGTGCAAAGTGAGAGTCCGCGAGCTGTGCCTTCTTTCGAGTTGACCAAAGCGGGCGGCCTAAACGGACACGGAGCATTCACCTTAAATGACTAACGGTTGAACTAGTATTCGATCCAAGCCCATGCCGCGACCCCCGCTGGAATCCTGGCAGAAAACCAACTTATATACCACATACCCAATGGTCCATTGGGTGTTGCGGTGGGGGGGGAGGGTAGCGGGTAACTTGTCAGATCAAAATATGGTTTAGGGAAATAGTGTTACACATGTTACGGCCTGCGTAGGGCACATGAACAAGCTGCATTTAATGCTTCAGCCTCCAAGTCACACGAGTATGACTTTTCGTTGGGGGCCCTTGGACACCAAATCGGGATTTATGTCCGTGGCTTTCGAGGCTCAAAACTCACGGGGAAGAAGCCAGGCCTTTTCGATTCCGTTTGAGTCAAAATCACAATCAAAACCCGGTATTAAGAAGGCGGATCTCCGCAACTACTTCTGGCTGGGATTGCCCCTTACTAACCTTCACCTACCGGGCTTTGATTGTGGCTCATATTCTGGTCATGGTGGACGCCGAGGATCATGCTTTCAGAATTGAAAGGGTGGATACCAGTGGCTCATTTGGTTTCTAAGGAGTCAGGTAGAATCCAAGAACTCGCGGTATGGAACCTGGATCACCCCTGTAGATTGAGAGAATCTGTTCTCGCAAGGGCATCTCCCACATTCACCGAGGGGAAGTATATATGCTGACACGTCGTCTACATTCCTGATTTCATTGACGTAATAACCAACAAGACACCACAACAAGACACAACCATGCATCCACAAAAGCTTTCTCTTGACCTCTTGAACGTGGCACTGACGTGGCTGCGTGATCCACAACACCCACCACCGAAATATAGCAAAACAAGGTGCACAAATGCAACTTGGACACTGCCTTTCTGTCCCCGCTTTTCCATTGCAACCCATTCAAGTCCATGAAGGAACCGTTCCGAGAGCAGGAGCAGCAAAACCAACAAATGACTCCTCTCCTTGACTCTTTGACTCCTTGGCCAGACCCGAAGTGTCGAAATTGGATCCGTTTTGGCACTCTCTCCAAACAACCCCTCTCGCGTCTTGCCTTCGCCTTCTTCATGGCATAGCCTCGAGAGTTTCCTCTCAGCCGGAACAACCCGGAGACCCAAACCTGGAATGCTGGTAAAACAGTTCCACACTCTGCACTCAAGGGAACTACTTCCCTCTAAGCCGGAACTGTATGACCCCAGCGTGATTTAGCTTGACAAAACGCGCAACCGATTGTTTCCACCCAAAAAACACACACAGAAAACGAAACATCCCGGCGGCCCTGGGAAATGTTCCCCAAGACATCCCCGAGACCTCCCGTGGAAAGAAGCCAAGGTCAATATCCATTGGAGCCAAGCCCTCATGTCATCCCCTTTGTACGATTGATAGCCT